AAGAGGAGAGTTCGAGGGAGCGGAGCGTTGTTGCTCGTTAACGAAACGAATCCGCGTTGGCCACATGAGAAAGCTGGCCCCCGTCAGATTTTTCAGGTGTCCAGGTGACAAACGATCGTCGTACGTGCGGATGCATTTCTCGGTGGATTTTCGTAGCGGCGCGGCTCGGAGAAATGAACCTGTTGCGGAGGTTTATGAGAGGCATTAGCATACTTCGTCGTTGGCCTCGTCTCCGTCGTTGGGCCAAGGGGGCCCCAAGCGGGCATCGGCACGGCGCCGCGATGCATCGTCGATGCACCGGCGAAACAGCTGCGAGATAAAAAAGAACCGACCGACCGTGAGGAGTGCACTTGTTGCGCCGCTACTTTCGATACACGCCGCCGTTCCGTCCTTCACCCGCTTGGATAAGGGATGAATTTTTTATCCGGCCGACGGATGATGACGCGATGAAGTCCTCGGTGGCCATCCTGGACCCGTGCAACGCCGATCGATTTTCAAACGGAGATTTTCACTTACTTCACCGAGCGAACTGCACGAATTTTCGTTGCAAAGTCGCACTCTTACCTCTGCCTGTGGAAAATTGAACTCGATCGTAGTATTGTGTTTAGAGCAAACGAATGCTTCCGTTTCGACGAAATTCAAATTGAAGCGAGTGTTACGTCACGGTTGGTCGAAATGATCAATTTGTAATTTTTCCTCGATACTTTACGAACATACTTTTAGAAATCTAAATGATTTTTCGTGAAATGTATAAATGAAACCTTGTGCACTTCGTTTTATGGTTTATAAAGTTCTTTATTATTTTTTTTTTTTTTTTTTACTCTAACATCTCTGACTCTCTGGGAATTTTACGTTTCAATCGCCGGTAGTTTTAGCGTCGATCCAAATTTTTTTCCAAGAATTAATTATTGTTGTAACATCGTATCAAACGTGAAATAGTGAAACGTTACGTATAATTTTAATCTTCAATTTGAAGGAATCAAGAATTTGTTTCTTTTTTCTCTCTTTAAGTTGACACGATAATTCGATATTACAAAGCAAAAGATTGAGAACGTATTAATCATTGAATAACGTACGAAAAATATAGTATTTCTCTATATTTGGCTGTCGTTTTATCAAAGTAACGGACCAACGAGCATTCGTTCCGTCTGAAACTCATCTTTCGTCATGGATAGTTTCGAAATTGGTTCCAAATCTGGGCGAGATCTTTTTAGTCGCGAAAATTGATCATTACCTTCGTGTTTGATAACGCTCCTCGCGTTTCAACCGTCGACGAAAGTTCGCGACAGCTGCGAACTTCTGGCTGGCACGTTTTCCTCTTCCGCTGGATGCTGACGATGCATTGTCTCCCGGTTCGTGTAAGAGGACGCCGAAAGCTGCGAAAATAATTGCTCGACGAAAGACAGAGGCGCGAATCGTAACGAGGAAGTCGATGGAAGGATGGAAGGATGGAAGTAAAGAAGGAAGGAAGGAAAGAAGGAAAGATGAAAGTAAATAAAAAAAAAAAAGAAAGAGAGAGAGAGAAAAAAAAACGGTTCCCAGGATTCGAATAGCTTCGTATGTCTCCTATAAAGGGAAGATTGTTCTGGCTCTATTCTGCTCGAAGGGATGCCTGAAAACGAAGGGTCTTCTCGCTTCTTGCGGCTCCGCCAAGGGTGGTTAAGAGGGATGCTGCTGTTTCTGTTCCCGCTGCCGCTGCATCTGCCCCTTTAGTGTAATGATATCTGAAAAAAAAGACAGACCCATTCATCGCTACGCCTCTCGACCATCAATTTGCCTCTTAAATAGATTCTCGACGGTGCATCCAGCTTCCTTTGCCGATTGATAACGATTTTGCTAAAAATCGAATATTTGTCGCGAGTTTTTCCTTCAGTGAAATTAGGACAATATAACTATTTTTTTTTGAATCCCCTATCGTGCGATTTGATTTATCTATTTTGTTAATATTTTTATTACATACCGATATATTCGCGCCAACAACGATGCGTCTATATCTGTCACGTTGTCACGAAATATTATCTTCTTCGTATCCGTCTCGTATCGAACAATACTAGAATACAAGGTGCAAGAGAACGTTTCGATCTCGCCTGTACCAACCTCGACTACCAAGAATCCTCCGGCGAAGATCTAGCAAAAAATTCGAGGGAGACGTGATACGATTCACCTCGGATTCAAATGGCACCACACGCCAGGAATACGGAAATCAAGATCACAGAAGGCCGCGCGTGAAACAGGGCAGAAACACCACGTTGGTCCGCGAAAAGCGAAACCAACCCACGGAGGAACGCATTCTTCTTCAGTCGAGACGACGCGCGACGGTTTTTCCCTAAGGTCGTAATACGCTGGATTTCCAGGAAAAGCGAATCGGCATGGTCATTTCACGGGGGTTCGTCCCCGTATTGTCCTGCAGAGGAGCAGAAGTGGAAACACGGCAGGAGGAACAGGAGCGAGCGCGAGGGGCGAGAGACAGGCAAACTCGACACCCTATATTTTCGTCTCATTTTACTAAAAGCCGATCGTATTTCACGATTCCACTCGTCGTCGCGGGGACAATACACGTCTCTGCCGTGTCGTTTTCTATTCGCCATTGCGCCCCGGACTCGACATCCGCGGGCCCGTTTTTCACGAAATTCGTAAGCTGACTTAAGGGGAGGGGGAAAGCGACAGCTTTCTCTTCCTTCTCTCTCCTCTATTTGGCCTCTATTTCCCATTTCTCTGACTTTTTTTTTAAATCGACACGGCCGTATTGAGACGCGGTCATTTGTCCGCAATTTGACCATAAATAGAGCCAACGACGACGGGGATATTTACTCGCGTGAAGAGATGTCTCTTTTTTTCCTTTCTTTTTTCTTTTGCATTGGTTTCTTTTTTTTTCCTCTCCTACCACCGGGAGAATTCGTTTCTCTTCTCCTGGTTTTTCGTGCCGTCTTTTCGAGCTGTTTTTTCTTTCTCTTTTTTTTTTCTCAAAGCGGGGATTCAGTGTCTCTCGTCAGACGAGAGACAGATCGCCGTCGGTTCAAATGGCAGCAACCGCGACCGAGCAGCGTGGAAATTTCGAGGTGATTCTCTGGAGGATCACGTGACGGATTTGCGAATAAAATAGGCCGTGTGAAATGTCAATAGAGGAGCACGCGCAGGAGTCGAGCGGTTTAAGGATGTCAACGACGTTTGACTCGCTTGCGGAGGATCGAGGTTTCCGGATTCCGAACGATTTACCAACTGCAATTACTAGGCTGCGGATTTCCATGCGTTCGTAATTTCAAATTTCAAAGCGCGAAGTATATAATGTCATCAAAAGTACAGCGCCTTTCTATAATATTCCACGATTCTATTTTTCTTTCTTTCTTTCTTTTTTTTTTTTTTTTTTTTTATTAATCCGAGTGCTCAGAATATCACATTTTAATAGCTATATACAATGAATGCTGTAGCATCCACGTCGATACAGGTCAAATTCATGTCACACTGCGTCACCACGAAAATGAATGCTATAGCGTTCACGTCCCCGAGCGTGTTAAAAATTTACAGTAACTACTGTCTGAACGAAAGAACACCGAATTACGGCTGAACGAAAAAAGAAGTTTACACGTCAGGGGGTTGATACAATGCGGCAAAATGTGTTCGTTTTCGATACGATCGGATCACTTAGAGGACGGTCGGGGCAGGAGTGAAGTTTAAATGCCCGTTAGAACGCTCGTTACATAATATCTGACGTACAAATCAAGAAAAGGTGGTGGCTCTCTATTAACAGAATGCAACGGATACCGAAGGCGATCCTTCGTTCGGACCTGCGGCTGACCCGACCATATTATCCTCGCTCGTCCCGTGGACGGCCCTAAATTAATATTCAAATCTGTATCAACGGGCCTGCATGAATCTGGCCAACGGCCTACAGCCATTGTCATGTCGAATTTCCTAGTGTCCCCGTGCTCTGAACTGTCCTGCTGGATCGTTCGAGGATTCGACTCTGATTCAATTCCTTCCCCTTCCCTTCCCTCCTTCCTTTGCCGACTCTTTCGTTTCCCTCCTCGCTATCTCTCTCTTTCTCTCTCTCTCCACTGGACGAGAAATCATTCCCCCGACGAATTTCTTCTTCTTCTTCTTCTTCTTCTTCTTCTTCT